CTGTGGTTTCTTCCAGATGATGATCACTGGGTAGTGGACACAGATTATGATACATATGCTCTTCATTACTCCTGCCGCCAGCTAAATGCAGATGGCACTTGTGCTGATAGCTACTCCTTTGTGTTCTCCCGGGACCCCAAGGGACTGCCTCCAGATGCACTGAAAATTGTCAGACAAAGGCAGATAGAGCTCTGTTTGGACAGAAAATACAGGGTTATCGCTCATAATGGTGAGAACTTTTTTCTGAATAATTTTATTTCAGGGTTTAATGACTAAAGTACTGGGATTCTTTTGCTCATTAGATATCAAATGCATAGTCTTTTACTTAGTGGCTGTAACATTATCTTTTGAAAACTGGAGCTTGTAGTAAGTTATTTCCAACTTTTACTTCCCTTATCTGAAGGAGAGCTGAGGTACATAGTTTTTCATACAGCATATCAGGTCAGCTGAAAACGTAATTAGAGGAAGTTGTAAAACAATTAAATCAATGTAGTGTGAGTAAACATAGTAAGCATAAATTTCATGGCTATGGTAAAAAGTAATTGGGCAGCTTTTACCAGATCTCTTTGCCTTTGTTGAAATACTTTTTTGAGAAATTCTTCAGAAAGGCTTTTAAGGAAAATAGAAGTCTTGGAAAGGATACCTTATAGAAGACCCTTTCTTCACAAGTCCTCATGCTAACTGTTCCACAAAGAGCTGTGGAAGAGGGACATAGCCCTCATACTGGAAGCATGACACTATCTTGAGTCATTTAGTCAGGCTGAGCTTACAACACAGGGAATTAGCTCACTTATGCTCAACTGTATTACAAATGGCCAAATGGTAATAATCTAGAAGAAACCATAATGTTTCTTAAGATAAGAATTACACGCAGAGTTGGGAACTGTAAAGTGTGAAGGAGAAAAGTCAAAATATTTAGAACAAATAAAATAGTAGTACCTCTCCCTACTCCCTCCCCACCCCTCACATCCTGGAAGACATGCTATTTATGAAAGACTTGACTAGTGAATCAGCTGAATGGGATCTCCCCATGATGTGAGAAGAAGAATTAATACGATTCTTGGATGTGTAAACCAAGACGAACATGAGATTGTTGTGCTTGGCATAAATCTAATTGCTATGTCACATTTGGTGACAAGCATAATTGGAAAAAGATGAATTAGAAGTTTAGAAGAAAAGCAGAGAAAATGATTGAAAGTTTGTAAAATGTGTCCTCTAGTGAGTGCTTTAAAGATCTTCATCTTTTCCTGTCAGAAAGAGGTTAAAGGCTGACCTGAGCAAAGTCTGTCCTTGTCTACACAAGCAATAGGAATTGGATAGAAAGAACTTGCAAACACAGGAATAATAAATTTAAATGGATGGAACTTTAAACTGGACACATTCAGAGCAGAAATAAACAGCCATTTGTTTAACTCCAAAGGTTATTAACCTTTGGAACAGTTTACCAAGAGCTGTTGTATGTTCTTCATCACTGAAATCCGTGAATCAAGATTAAAAGCTTTTGTCAATGACATGCTAGAACAAACTGGGATGGACTGAAGGAACTTTTGTGTCTTATAAAGAAAGTCAGAACAGATGAGCAAAGTCAGCTGTTGTGGCTCTATTATCTGTTTATCTGATCCATAAACACAGAGTAATACATTGCCATGTTGTAAAGTAGTGTGCTGATAACAGGGTGCCTTGAAGAACAGGGTGCCACCTATTCTGCTGCAGTAGGTGGTGTTTACAGTACTGATCAGTGACCTGGGAGAAGTGCCTGACAACAATGAAAAAAAAAATTATCTTGAATGAGAATTTGGCGACAGCATAAGTCAATTGAAACTTAGAACAGTCAAGAATAAGAGACGTCATAAATGCAAATGGAATCAACTTTTGTGAATGATTTGTATGTGTGCATAAGTGGTAGGATAGAAAAGAAACAATGTTATTATATAAATTTATGATACTTTTCTGTTTTGAATCCTGCATTCCATGCTTTTAAAGTAAAATCCATCAAGAGTAAAAATTTCTGAAAATGAGAAAGCAAAATAATCAGATGTTTAAAGCTATTCTATCAAATCTAAGATCATTTAAAAGTTGATCATTCTTCTTGTTTGTTATGGATATCAAATACCTAATCTACCAAGTCACAGTGTTCTTTGTTAGCTACCCTAATTTATACTCAGATGTTAGATGTTGAATGCAGTGTCTGACATGACTGTGTGGGTTTCATAGTTTGCAAATGAAAAACAGGAACCTGGGTACCTTTTTCTTAAGGATTATGCCAGAGTTTATAAGCCCAGCACCAAAGTATAAATTAAACTTAAATCCAGCAATTTCCATTTTCCCCTTTATTGATCAGGACCCTATTATTAGTTGATTCTGAATTCTCCAGTATCATCAAGCCAAAGTTCCTGCAAAGCAAGCACATTTGGAACTGAGGGAATGATTGTGAGGTAAACTGGGGAAAAAAAAATATTGGGAGCTTCAGATCAGAAATTCTTACAAAATTTGCTTAATTCCTTATGTATGGATTGGAAGTTTTACTACGTGGATTTTAACTCTGCTATTAAGAGCTACAGAATTATTACCAAAACAAACCAACTTCAATTGTCTGCACTGACCTGCATCCCATCGTTACTGTGATAAAATTCTGACTGATGTTAGTAAAGCTGCAAGAATAGATTGCTATCTATTGCTAATTATGCCCACTCTGCCTAAGTCTTGAAGCTAATTAAGAGTTTGTGTGTGTATGTACATGTGTGTGTGCCTGCTCAACTAATAGACATACAAAACTTACTTGATTAATAAAAAAAAAAAAAGAAATTGCTGTACTGGCTGTTCAAGGCAAAAGAGAAACCTGGGTAATGAAAGTTTTTTGTTCTAACTTACACTGCATTTATGATGGTAGCTCCTTCTCAAATATAGCTCAAGCTATAATACACTTAGTCTCTTAGAGTAATAGCCAAGTGACTTTAAGCTGTGTAATGTCAGTGTCAATATTAAGTAAGAGTCCTTGTAAATACAGTGTCATGTCAGTAAAGTTGAAAGCTGCATCTGCTGTTAGCATTTGCTAGAAGCAGCAATTGTGAAATAAGGAGTGGTATATGCCTTTTGCTAATTTGCTATTGCCATTAGAAGTGTTTGGAGTCAGGAGATTCTGACTTTGTTGAAAGACATTCCTAAATTAATTATTTTTAGGCAAATAACTTTACTTGTTAAAGTATAGACTCTTTAAAATCCAGTATCAGTGAAAGATACTCTATCATTGATCTGTCCAGTACATTTTCTGCAAAAGTATTAAAATTCTCAGGAGAGGTGTAATGGATTGGATGAATTCCTGTTTTTTTCCGAGCTGAAAATTCCATAGAATTATAAACTGCAGAGTAAGGTAATGGCATTATTATTACAAGTAACAGACTGCTGGGCTCAAGCATTTTAAAGAAATTAGATATGTATGCATTTTAAATTTGATGAAAGTTTGTGTAATTAAATTTTGTCGGGAGTGTTTGACAAACACAACTGTGGTTTTTTGTGTGTTTCAGGATTTTGCTCTTAAGGAGATCCAGCCCTATGGAAAGAAACCATGTAACAACACCACGGATGTAAAGTTAACACATTGATCATGTGTTCCCTGGAAAATGCTTTAAATGGGTCCATTTAGATTTTAAATATATTTATCTGAGCTGTGTAGCTCACCTTTTTAATAAACCAATGAAATATTTTAATAAACTTGGATTACAGGGGATGCAAATCGTATGCAAATCTGTACATATGTACACATTGGTTTCATTAGTAGCCTGTTTGTGCATTTTTTTGAACTAATGACTGGTGATAATTAAGAATTTAATCTTGCTTTTTTTAGTGGTTTCAATTTCTGACTAAAGAGTATTTATCATAAACCTCCAAGTATATGTATTTTCTTTTCAACTAGAACATTTTATTTTCCCTATAAAATACTAGAAATCGTTTAGAAAAGAGAAAGGAGTTTCAGTGACCCTATATATCACTAATTAACTTTATTATATGACTAGTGAAGACATAAAAAATATGTATCTTTTTAAAAGAATTATTTTACACATGACAATTTACCATTTATTTATTTATTCTTTATTTGTTAATTCACATGTATTAAGTCCATAGCTTTAATTTGAGATGGAACCAAACCAAACCAAATCATTTACTTGATGATAACACATGTTCATTATCTTGTTTCAGTTAGTCTGCTCAAACTTACATTCAGGTAGACAGTCATTGAAGTGTTTAATCAAGTTCCCTTTAAAAACTGGATTTTAAAAAAAAGCAGATACTTTCTGAGGATGAACATTTTCACTAGAAACTTTAAAGTACTTAATTAAACTATTTTACATTCACCAAGTTCACTGCCATATTTCTATTTATTTCAGTGTAAGAGGAGAATTCAATCCCTTAAATTAAATTGTTCAATCTTACTGAGGCAAAGCAATGAAGAGAATTTTACCTGCAGGAATGAAAAATACACATTTAGCTTTTTTTCCTCCTCCTTTGGCATGTAATTCTATAACATAATGACCTGTGTGACCTGGGATAACATAGACAAAATCCAAAGTGTGGCACAGCTCAGACTTTAAATAATTATCTGGTAATGAAAGACAAATGTGGCTGTTCATGGTTACTTCTTCGTGCAGTGGTTTCTGTACCTGGTCCATGCCTTTCAGGGTTCCCTGTACAACAGAGAAGAATTTCCTGACATTTACGTCTGAAATGGGCAACATTATACAGAATTGGATTGACAACAGAGTTGGCAAAAGTGAATAATGCTATCCAGAAGAAAACTGATGGCAAAATATTTAAATCTTTTTTGAAGTTCTGAATTAAAATTAAAAAAATAATTACTATTATTGGAGTCCACATAATGAAGAAAGAGGTCATCAACAGAAAAAGGGCTCGGAATAGTTTGTAATCTTGCTGGGAAACATGAATCTGATGATGTTCTGGGTAGGCTAAACCAGCATTTAAACTTCTCCTTGATGCTTTTGTAATCTGCAGTAAAAGAGAAGAAAACAACTTTCACTGAAACACATTTTTACAAGTGAAAACATAAATCTTGGTACATGGTGTTTTCTTTTGAAAAGTGACGACAAAAAACCACATTGCAGAATTCATTTGTACTTTTTGTCCATGGTTCCATTTCAAATGGTCTCACTTCACTAGCAATTCTTTTTCCTCTCAGCTGTGAATTCATATCAATGTCAGGCAAAGTGGCTGTTCTTTTCATGACTCCCTATCAGTCACAAATGCTTTTCAGCATAAAACAGTCTTGATTACTCATGACATCGCATTAAATTCAAATTATGACCTCATTTGTTCTATCTAAAGAAACCCATTGATTTTTTTCACAAATGCAAACTGGAACATAGTTAACAATCCTGTTGATGTGCAAGAAGGAAGGCAATCCAATTCTCTTATGGCCATGCTAATATTATAAGGTAGGTATTAGGAGGAGCATGAATTTATTACAATAAATTATTTTAAATGTGAATGACATTGTGCACTGTTTCGTGTCACACTTAGCTTTTCTGACAGTAATCACAATTGCTTTCTATGAAATCTTACAGATCCTTACTGTCACTATAAAAGTCCGTGTCTTGTAAAAGTATTCTCTTATGTAATGAACTAGACTATGGGTAGCTTGGAAACCTAGTATTCACAGGTGTGCATCATCTGTCATTAGGTAGAATATTGGACCCAGTGGGCTTGCAGCCAATTTGAAATCCTCTGCTCTACATCCCTGTGTTCCCTGAAGTTGGCATGGCACAATTAAATGTACTGTACAGTACACTGTTGCAAATAAATTAAAACTGAAATATCTAGCAAAGATTTGTGCTAAATAACTGAGATGCCACTTTATCCCCTGCATGCATAAGGAAAGGGTGTTTTCAGAAGCCTTTGATCAATCCTTAGCTACATAGGAAAGTCAAAATGTAAGGCTTCACCTACCACTTTTCCCTTTTCCCTTTAGCAGAAATTCAGGAAGGACAACACTAATACTAGCAACATTTTAACTTCCTGGTACAGGTAAGGATGAAAATGTTTAGAGAGAGAGAGTAATTTGTCATTCTGTTAGCAGTTTTCTGAATTTGTCATGGAGATAAATACACATTAAGAATCTAGACATCTTTAAATATTTTAATAGAATGTAGCTGTATAAATAAAAACCCATGAACCAGAAGTGGGTTTCTTAGCAGCTTCTGAGGCTGAGAAGGGGACAGTATCACTAACTGCTTCTCTGATTTAAAATGAGCACAGAATTCTGATGTCCTGAGCATGTAAAACTATTCCAGCTTGTTGATCTTCTGCTGTACAATCTGGAATCCAGAAACTAAGTTAACTCCTCCAAAGAGTCCAAACCAAGAGTTGTTCTTAGAGAACACCTAACCTGTCTTAGTAAGAATGAAGGTTTCATGAAATGCAAAGGACTACTATCCTCTTCTAATATAAAAGTAGGAAAACTGGGTTGTGTGCACTTCTCAGTCTCCACTGTTCAAAATTGCTACAGATTGTCCTCATTAGATACATTTTTATCTGTCCCATATAAATACTTTCTGTCTTTCCTGCAGGAGCTGCACAGCCTAGAACTAAGAATGCAAGAGTCACCAGGACTGTGGTAAACAAGACACAACTGCTTCTTAAGAAAATGTTCAAGAGAAATGGGGTGTCAGTGGTATGTTGTGGATCTCTTTTTGGTCTGTCCAGTATGGGTACCTATCCTGGGCATCTGGACAAACAGGAACTTAGAAGTCAGATATATATAAGCGTGTAACTTCCAGAACACAGACATCTTCCCTAGTTCTAGCCTCGGACAAAATCTTGCCTGAGAGTCAGAACAATGGAAAGCCAAATAAATTACAAATCATGGCATCTAATCTATGATTTTTGCCAGGGTTCTGGGAAGTGTTATGTAAGAATAATACTCAGTTTTAGAGTAAATTGTGAAGTACATATTTGTAGTAGTGTATATTTGTTAAAAAATTTCAGGTCTTGTATCTGTAGTCAGTCCTCATCATCCTCCTCATCATCATCATCAATGTTGTAACATGAATACATGAATGTTTGTCACTGCTTCCAGCAATACTGAGAATCATGATACATGTGCACTGGCATAATGGAGCTTTCTCACAAAGAGAGAGTGAGTCTGCTTTTGGGAATGACTCAGGGATTGAGACATTCTCCAGTTCAGTTCTGCTTGCTTCCTGGAGAGCGAGAAGATTCAAATATATCTTGATTTTGGCCTCAAGCCTTCCTCATTTCAGGGGAAATAGCAATGTATTTTAGCATCTCTGTTAGCAAGTTAGAAAAGAAACAGGAGCAGAGCAGCACGGAGAAGTCTTGTAATACCAAGTCTTGTAATTCCAAACACTACTTTTGGCTTCTAGCTCCCTATGTGCTATTTTGTTGTATAAATTTATCTGTAATCTGGAGTCTGCAAGGACAGGAGCTAACAAACAGCATTCCTGTCCTGGCCTCTGACCTCTGTGGCATTTCTTGGCCTGCAGTGTTATGCAGTTCTTTCAAAGGACTCACTCTCCACTGAGTTACTCTACGCTCTTTGCCTGCATGTATGTGGTTGCAAGTGCTTTACTTCACTAGAAGAGGTTCACCTAATGCATTTACCTCAAGGTTATAGTGAGCTAACAGACAGTACAGAAACTACAGGCTGATGACTTTTACTACAAGTTTAAGTTTGATCAATAGACAAGGATGTGTGGAGACCAGAGTCTAAATCCTGGGTTCATTTTACACCTACATCCAGGGTGTGTGCACCCACAGCCCCTTGGTGCTCATCATTTCATCAGTTAACCCCTTGCTCAATAATCTATGTATGCTGAAGTTCCTTTCCAAAACCTATAATTTTCTTATACATATTATGAGTTTAATTACCCGATAAAGGAATCAAGGATCTTGTGGGTTGTTGCTAAAATCTAGGCATTGAAGTGGCTAGTTTGACATGCTTGGTTTGAAGATTTCTAGATCTTTCTCACTCTGATTTTGGATAGTTTAAAAGGAAATTAGGTGCTAATATAATGTTTGCTAGACTATAGATTATAACTCTGTGGTGCTGGGTGGCTTGGCTTATATTGCAGTGTATATGTTAAACATCATCCACTTAGAAAGAAAGTAGAAGCAGATGGCTTAATTTACCAGTTTTGTTTACAATATTTGAAATTGTGGGGGATTAAGCATAATCTAATGAGATCTGTGTACTAAAGACGCATGCAGAAAGCCAGTAGATCAAAAAGTAGATAGGTTTTTTTCCTAGTCCTGCCTTTTTCTGCTTTCTTACAAATCCCTCATGACGAGTTTAGTCTCAATGAAAGCAAAATCCAGTTCTTAGTTATTTCAAATGCTTGACTCTTTCAGCATTTAGGAGGTTGACAGTCTTTAAATATGAATATTAGATAAATGAAGAAATGTATTTAACACTATACATAAGGAGACAAACCATGTGTTGGGCCGCTGGTAATGTGCTGTTGAAGCATGTTCTTAATTCAAGTATATACGCTGTTATGTGCAGGTTGAAATGCTCCATTTCATATCACATACTTATAATTTATTGAACAAATGTTTGTTCCCTTTACATGTATTAGTATTCAGTGACAATATGCTGATGCCTAGTGTGTTACTGTTTACTGCCCTTTGTTTTACAACAAAATTTAAAGGGAAAACATACCTGTAAGATTTTTGAGTAACTGATGACAATGATGAATCCTGGTATCAGAAAGAAAACAATTGCAAAGGTTGTATCCCAGACTGTTTCTCCTGCAGTGCTGGGCCAATCCAGGGTGCAAATCTGAATGTCCTATTTACAAAAAAAAAAAAAAAAAAAAAAATATTAATATTGTACCATTATTTCCAGTACAGCATTGTTCTTATCTCCCTCTATGCTTATGGAAAAAAAAAAATGGTAAGCCAAGACTGTGAAAACTTTCTACTTAGACAAAGTGGTCAAGTAATATATTACTTGTTGATTTTAAACCCCCATACAATCACAAATAGATATGTCCACAACTGGAATAGTTCCATTAATTTCTTATCAATTTGTAATGGCAACTTTAAAATTGAAACTTACAGACCCTAAACTTAAAAAATTCATTCAAATGTCATGTGGGGTGCATTTTTGTATGCATTTCAGAATATTAGGCAGGAAAATCTGTGCATGGCCATTTTGTACTGAGGGGCTGCGGCTGTGCAGGGCAAGTCTCCCAGGATGCTGATCCCTCGGTTAGGGGAAGTGAGCTGAAAAGGTCTCTGAGCCGCACTGAGGAACGCAAAGAGAATCTCAGCCGATGCGCGTTTCCCACCTAACGGGACGGTCCGCCGGGAGAGCGGGCCGGGCGGGCGGCCGGGAGGAGCTCCGGGCACAGCCTCGCAACTGCCCGGCACACAGAGCGCTGCCCGCCCTGCCGGCGATCTCCTCGCTGGCCGCTGTCCCGCCGTGGCAGAGGCGGACGAGCCTCCGCCGCCGTCGGTCCCGGCGCCCCCCGGCCCGCCCGGCCCGGCCCGGCCCAGCCCGGCTCCGCGGGCGCGCCCGGCGCTCGCCCTCACCTGGCCGGGGGGGGCGGGCAGCCGCACCACGGTGAAGAAGCAGCAGAGCGGGAGGGTGGCGAGGGCGGCGAAGCCCCAGATGAGGAGCAAGGCGGCGGCCAGCACCTTGCGGCGGCGGAAGGCGGCGTGGCGCAGCCGGGAGATGCAGACGACGCGCTCCAGGCTGACGGCCGACAGGGAGAGGATGATGACGGTGCCGCTCAGGCTCACCACATAGAAGAGCAGGTGGCAGACGAAGTTGCCCAGCACCCAGGACTCGGTCCAGCGCACGACGGCGATGAAGGGCATGGCGGTGATGAAGAGCAGGTCGGCGCAGAAGAGGTTGAGGACGAGGCAGTTGGCGGCGCAGAGCCGGCGGTGCCGCCTCAGCAGCAGGCAGATGCCCCAGATGTTTCCCGCCAGCGACAGCAGAAAGATGAAGGCCAGGGCGGATGACTCGCCGATGCGCAGGGCCGTCACATTGCGGCCCCTGAAGTCCGAGAAGAAGGGGAAATAGGTCTTGTTCCCTCCTGGTGCGCCCCTGGACACGGGCATGAGGGTGACCAGTGGACATCAGAGACCCACCGTGGATGGTGGCACCAGCCCTAGGGGAAGGGCTTCGCTCCCAACCACCACGGCGGCACCTGGGGTGCCCTCCCAGCACAGAGCCAGGGGATGACCGCCATCCCCCTCCCTCCTCTTTCTCCTGCCCCTGCTACCAAGGCTCAGCTGTGCCAGCTGGGCGGTTTATGGCCCTTGCACTGGAGTGGAACAAGGAAGTGGGAGAGTAAACACGGTGGAGCTCACACAAAGGCGAGGCCGCAGCGCATGGGGCTGCAGTGAGGGGCTGCCCAACACCTCCCTGGGCAGGGGGTGGATCAGCACGCTGCCATCTCCATGCTCAGGCACCCAGACCCAGCCACCTCATCCAGTGCCAGCCCTGGTCTGCTCGGCTCTCTAGGCAGGCCCCTGGGGTGCCAGTGACCCTGGGAGGCCACTCAGTCTGCTCCCATCCAATGGGGTATGCATGGCTTAGAAACATGGATGGCTGACAGACCACTCTGAGAGCTCTCCTCAAGAGCCTAGGATGACCAGACTAATCTAGGGTAAAATAAGAAAAAGAAAAAAAGAAAAAAAAAAAAAAAAGAGGAATTTACCTATCACCTTCTGTATTGACAGTGGCATTTGGAAACAGCAGATCTGTGCATTGCTTGTCCTAACTGTGGAGAAGCATCACTGACACAATTTTGGGGATCTATTTACGAAATTCATCTAGGATCTCATCTGTGTTATGAGTTCGTGCTGGAGAAGCCTGTTAAAGTAAGACAAACCTAGAAAAGACCTTATTTTCTCTGAACTTCAATTACTAGAAGCAGTGGCTCAGATTGTAAATGGAAGTAGGGCTTTCCACTTAGGCTCTTCACTTCAGATGCTTTAGAAATGGGCTGGGAGTGAAGCACGTAAATTGTTACAGACTGGTGGATAATGTATCATAAAAGAAGATAAAATGTTTTCATAAAGTATGTAAACAGTTGTATAACGTTAGGCTGGGTGAATTCATTTGGCTGAGTGCCAGTACAGGCACTCAAGGGTTTATTTACAGGCTCAGTGTGTGGACCTACACCATTTGCTGAGGTGAGAGCTATTCCACGTGTGTGGAATACAGAACTGCTGTGCCATGGGGAGCAGGTGATGGGCAGTGCTTCTGCAGTACCCTGGGTGTGACCCTGCCATCAACCATTTACGCAACAGCATTAGTGGGGATTCCAGATTAGTGGGGATTCCAGAAACTTGGTTCTTTGAAGGGGCAATCTCCTAATCAGGGATGACAAGAGTGACATCTTTCCTGGACTGCTTCCCACATCTTTTCTGTGCAGAATTTGCATTTATTTCAAATAGCAATTATTTCAATTAGTGGTTCTAACCATCTATGCTGTCTCATCAAACAGGGAGTTTGCCTAACAAGGGCAAACAAGGGCAGCCTAAACAGGTGTATGAAATGCTCCTGCCAGCTCCTGCTGAGAGATGACTGTATGAAATGTGGGCACAGTTGCTGGTGAGGGAATGGGCTATGAACTCAAGTGAAGACAATAAGAAAACTTGCAAAGACTGGGTCTTTTTTTTCAACAAGTGTCTCAGTATTGGTACTTTACATCATTTGATGGCAGAAAAAAATCTGCATCCATATTACAAAAATTTCAGTAAATTTAATAGACCTACTGATTTATTATTAGCATTTATGATCGGTGCTTGGCGTATCTAGCCACAATTTATGTTGGCTCTGCTATGAACTGATTCTTTAAAATTATTAGTGAATCTTGAAATACAGCAACACCTTCTAGTTGCCACAACCTCACAGGCCTGGGACTTTTTGCGAGCTGACAGACTAGCCCCAAAGTTCTGGGCTGGCAGTAGCA